AGAGAGAGAGAGAGAGAGAGAGAGAGAGAGAGAGAGAGAGAGAGAGAGAGAGAGAGAGAGAGAGAGAGAGAGAGATCCAAGTGATGGGAGTGAGTGATACAAGTGAAGCGAGACAGCGAGGCAGATAGAAAGGGGAGAGAGAGAGCATACTTACGTGATTGAGAGTGATGACCTGGTGGCCATGGTCGTCTGTACCATGGGCTTGGAACTTGAACAATCTTGAACAATTTTGTGTCTGGGGAATTATAATTTGGGACTTTCAGCTGATATCAATCGCGTTTCTCTACTGTCGAGTGTTTTTGTGTGGACGTCCGTGACATCATGCATGACTGCAAGTGGAGTTGAATTTGAGTCGGTTGATTGCGTTGTGGCTTACAATGCATATGAGGGGCGAGGCCTTGGCGACTATGGTGGGTGTCTTGTCGCTCAGCTTGTGGCTTTCTACCCTTAAGTAGACATGGACCTCAACTTTGCAAGCGGTGGCTAACGGTGGGTTTGATATGTGCTGGTTCTCATGAATCCCACTCAGGGTTTGAACACCGAACCTGTCAGTTATATCTTTTCACAACAAGAATGCTGAGACACCTTCTTGTAATGACTACATGGTAAAAATTGCAGATCTGAAGAAGGTGGTGGAGCTTGATCCTTCTGATAAGCAGGCCAAGGAGGCAGTACGAAGACTTGAGCCGGCGGTGATGGCCAAAAGAGAGAAGATGAAGGAGGAAATGTTAGGTGAGATCATCCATCTTGCAGGCAATGAAATGGTCTTTTCAGGCAGGCCTGGCCTGGCATAAGGCAATGAAATCGTTGTTTCAAGTGGTCGTGGCTAGACATAAGGATGTGAGTATTGTGGGGTTGTGGCGTAAGGCTGTTGGTATGGTGGGGTTGTGGCTTACAATGCATATGAGGAGCGAGGCCTTGGCGGCTATGGTGGATGAGTGTCTTATTGCTCAGCTTGTGGTGATTTCCGCTGTGAGGGCAGGAACATCTTAGAGGTGTCAATATTGGCAGCACCTGCTGTAGTACATATGGGTTGTTCCACTATGAGCGAAGACTGACGAAGTTTGAAAATTCAAAATCATTCCTCGTGGGAAAAATGGACCAGAGCCCCGAAGATGCAATCATGGCACCGATCGGTGCCAACTTTATCTTTCTCCTCGTCAGGTATATATATATATATATATACCGGGCAGTTCTGTTTGTGACGATATATATATTTGACGATATATATATAGTCAAACAGAGCTGCCCGGTAAACCATAGGCAGAGAGGGAGAAAAGGACAACAAACGAGGGGCCGGGACAAACTGTTTCATCGGAGTTTCACCGACTCGTCAGGAGGCTGAACCCTCAACAGTCTCAAGAATCCCCCTAACTGATTACACTGTAAGGGACAATCCACCTTATCCCCGGCTGTGGTTAAGCATCAACGACGGCCCGACAACTAATACCCTGAGGTGGGCACCAACCACTGCCCTCAAGGTACCTGTGACAAAAATCAAAGCAGACTATCACTTACCCACACCAGAATGGGAAAGTGTCCCATTCTACCACCCCTCGGGGGGCCGCCCATATGCGCAGGAATCCTGTGCATATGTCGCCAATCACTCGCATCTGGTCAGCATGGAACGTGTAAGCGGACTGCCTCGCTATCGTGTACAATGCCTTGTCTAACACAGACTTAAATTGTTCTAGTGGACTAAAAGCCATTATGAATTCTCTTTTTTTTTTACGGAGCTTTTGATGATCGATCTCTCAAAGCCAAACCAATCTAATATACTCGGAAAAAAGCAAAGGCCGTAGGCTCGCTAGCTAGAGAAAGATTAATCACTGCAATGATACTTTTTTCTATTTTTCCAAGCATAGTAGTTGAGCTAAGAGAAGTGACAAGCGGCCTAATACATAGTTCTTTGGAAGTCCTAACAGCAGAAATTGCAACGCATCATCCGCACTCCCTTGTTGTCCACCTTTTCCCCGACAGAGACGTACCCGGCAGAATAGTCATTATAGCTGTATTTGAGACAACTTCCAATCTAGATACAGCGACAATGACCCGGCGTTCTATTCGGGCGGAAGACGGTAGTCGACATCGACACTTCTCGTGAAGCGCTGAAAACTGAAAAGTCTGTTTCTCATCATCTGCTGATTTACTGTCTTCCTTGTGCGTCGCTCCCATCGCGTTGCATGCAGGTAAGTTGAAAGACCTCGGCAATTCCCTTCTTGGTCACTTTGGTATGTCATTGGACAATTTTAAAGCGGTTCAAGATCCGAAGACCGGCGGTTACTCAGTTAATTTCCAGCGGTGACGAGCAAGCTCTAATGAAAGGTGGACTGAGTTGGCAGATACATGTTTCCAGCAGTGAGGATGATTCTCGATCAGCAAGATGTATGGAAAGGTGGACTGAGGTGGCTCGTACTGTTGTCGACAATGGCGCTGCGGCGTATGGATGGCATTGGGAGAGGTGTGGACCTCCTCGGCTCGTAGGCTGATGACGGACAAGTGAATAGTAACCTAATGAAAAGGAAAGGATCAGTGCGATCGTCTTCTTTCTCTACCTGCACCTGAGTGGCAAACTGTCGTTTTCTGCATTGCGAGATCTGATTCCCCGAGAGGACATTGACACATGCATTGGAAGACCTGTCGCCACTTCCCTCCAGTCTCCGTGCGAGTGTCTCAAGACACAGTATTGCTCGTCTCTCGTGATGGTACAAGCTTCGGGACTTCAACAACCCACTGGCACTCTTTTGATTGCTGGTGAGGTATGGACAACACGGAGAACACGGAAGCACCGAAGTTGTCTCCTCTGGGCTGTCCCACCTTTTTGCGGTGTGGTGCCATAAGGAGTGTGGGTTGGGTGTACGTGGAGACAGTGTGCGTTGGATGCCATAAGGCGTGTGTGTCAGATGTTCAGCAAGTGTGTGTGGGATGTTTAGCCTGTCTGTGCTTGTGGAAGACGTTCACATACATGCCAGTGTCGGTCAGAGTAAAGTGCAGCAGACCAAGCAGTGCGTGCCTCTTGTGTCCATGAGAGCAGCATTGAAAGCCAGAATGACGCAGCAGTGCTCGTCTCTTGTATTTGTGTGAGGATCAAGACTAGTAGTGACGCTGCAGATGGCCTCGGACGCACAAGCGCATCCAGGCAGCGCTGGTTTTTGGTTGTGTTCATGCAAGCATTGGATAGAAAACCATATGGCACCCTCGTCCCCTGTGTCCGTGTGAGCATCAGTACTCCTGGTGGCCCATTTCCTGTCTGTACGTATGCCAGGAGGCCTGGTGGTGCTTTCATCTTGCCTCCGTCTTCGAGGGTTGGAAGGTCCAGGAGTCTTTTGTCGGCACAAGCATAGAAAGACCCGGTGACCTTTTTCTCCTGTCTCTTGCAAGCTTTGAATTTTTTGTGCTGCCTGCGTCTTGCGGTAGTGGAAGAGCTGCTGGCACTGGTATCATGTACCCATTGTGTGGCTACTGGGAGAATGCTGTTCATAGAAAAACCTGGTGGCACTTCCATATTGTCACCCTGCAAGTCTTGGAGTGCCTGTGTACCTGTGTCTTCCATCGGTGTAAACAGTTGAGCGGCGTAAACAATTGAAGAGCTGCTGGTGCTCGTATCCCTTTTGGTTGACTATTGGGAGAATCAGTGGTTCCTTATTCCTCCAGCTACTCACGGTTGGCCTTGAGGTGGTATTCATCAGTCTTGCAAATCAAGCTTTGCGGTCCTGCTGCTCCAACAATGGATAGAGGCGGTCGGTCGGTCGGTTGGTCTCACACACACACACACACACACACACACACACACACACACACACACACACACGCACGCACACAGGGCCCGCAGGAGAGGGCCACGCAATGGTGGAAAAAAATGCAGTGGAGATGCTCAAACTACGGCCAAAACGCAGAGAAACGGCCCCCTGGCAAACCGCGAAATCGCAGTAGTAGCCCCTTTTGTAGAGTCTGATCGCCCCTCCAAGTCACCACACCTCCACCTCTGTCCAAACAACAGTTACGCAGCCTAAAATGATTATGTTCGAATAAAGCACCCCCTTGTGCTTTATTTAAAATGCAGGAGAAATGCAGCAAAACACAGCGCGCTCAGCAAGCGTGCGTAGCAACAAACACCGTAGTAATGCACACCGCTGCTCAACAACTGTGTGCAGCAAGGCACAGTGGAGCACAACAACAAGCACAATAAATGCTCAGCTAAAACACAATGCCGCGCAGCAAGGCTCCGCAAATGGCAACCCATGGCAGCTTATGATTTCTTGTATCTATAAAGTTGCGAGTGCATGACTATAACTGCAGTAAATTATTATTGCTATTACTTTTAAGTTGGATGGTCATAAAAGTTGAAAGGGGCAAACTGAAGTAAAACATAACTTGAAATTAAACGTTAAGAATGATTGTTATAAAGCAGGGTTTCAATATATGTGGTTTTATGGTTGATTCCCCTTCAAGTGGAAGGTGACTTTATGATTTTATGGATGACTCTTGTTCAAGTGGAAGGTGGCTTAATGATTTTATGGATGACTCCCCTTCAAGTGTAAGGTGGATAAATTATTCAAAAGGGCATGAAAAGTAGTATGAATGATAGAGTATGAAGAGAAGGACAAAAAAGTGGTCATTCATGGGTGAGATTTTGGAATGTTGCAAATATGATAAAATTTTGAAAAATGGTTTTAAAATGTGAAACCTATTTTGCTATAATGAAGTGAGAGGCCACGGTCCTGTGAATGTGACGGTGAATTTTCATTTTTTGGGGGGAGGACGTTGTACCCTCCATGTCTCATGGGAAGCTGATAAGTGTCTTTAGTCAAACAGACCTCTGCGTAGTCCTGCAGTAGGCCCGGAGTTTGGCCACTCTGATGCTAATCTTAAAACATGCACGGGGAGGCTTAGTTAAGGGGTACTTCTTAGCATCACTGGGGAGCAACCTCCAGTGTTGGTTGCTGACCGATACAACCTGGCAACGAATCCTTGCGTTACCAAAGGGTAAAACTTGAGGGGTGTGGCCACCCCAGAGAGTTTTACCCCTGTGGGATGTCGGAGGTATAAGAGTCGAGTATGGAGTTGGTCAGGATCCTTAAAGGTACCTAATCAGGAAGAGTCGCCTATTGCTGCGCAACCAACGATGGCACCGCCGTTCTACAACAACACGGTGGACCCTAGATCTAGCACGATCAACGAATTTGGGCCACGATGGAGACCTGACCCTCCTGTACTAGACTTCGGAAGAGGTTTATGATGTAAAATTCTACTAGTATAAATAATTTGTTGAAAAATGCAAGAGAGTGTTATAAAGGTTCTGGTTGGGGCCCGCATCCTAAGATATGACCTCGTATGCAGGACGATGACTAAAAAGGACACCCAACGATGAGCCAACCAATACTTAGGACGAAAGGAGAGGATTATCAACGACTCCATGAAGCATACTCTACTTTGTAGTACAGAATAAGTACCGTTGTGTTAAAGGTCTGGCCACAGAAGACCTAGGTTTAAATCCTGACAGTAAATAGTTGTACCTAAATTTGATAAAACCTTTGAGCAGAGTCAATCTGGCAGATTGGAATCAATATTTTTTTGTCGCCACTTTGATTGTGGTTTGATAACTTTTGATTGTTCGAAGCGACGGGGATGTCCTTAATATTTTTGTGAGTTGTCGGTGCGAATACCATTACAAGGGTATCCGCCCTGGGTTTTTGCAAATGCTAAAAGTATGGTTTGAGAAAACTGAGAGTTATTTCGCATATATGCGATTTATCGACGACTAACGGGATGGTTGAATATTTAAATATGCCAGACATTATGTGGGATGTGCAAGTTGAGGCACGCGCGTTTCCCTCTAATTAGCATGTCGCAAACCGGTATTTTTTACCGAATATTTTTTATTATTACTATTAAATAGGGATTTAAATGATCGTTTATTTTTTATATGTCTATTTGTGGCATGCTCGCGTGCGGAGGTGGCCTTGCCACGGCCGGTGTCAAGTCCTGGCTACTGATGCCGCGTTTTAGAAGTGACTATCTTGAATTTTATTTGAGTCAACCTTGCAGTTTTCGTATTACATAATACAATGGAGCGTCTATCATGTTTGCTCGTCAGTGGGAGGTGCCCGCAGTTTTCGGCGAGGGAATGCATAATCGGGCTCTATGATAAGGAAAGAGTTTTTTCATTTAAATAATAAAGGTGCAACCTCGAAAAAATGGTTACTTTGCAGAGGCCAACACCAATGAACGTAAGATTTTGGCGTGATGGATGTGGCGTGATGGATGTTGCGTGAGGTGGCTACGAGCAGAGTCGGACCCTTCACGCGGCGAGTGTCGGGTGTCGGCGGTCGTAGGGTCAGCAGATGGGCCAAGGTGTGGCCATGAGAGGTTTTAGTAGACTCACTCGAGACATAGAAACCGTTTGTAATGAATCATGCGCTTGATAAACCCAAGCTTGGGCGTAACCCTATTGGTTACAACATTGAACTTTCAACGTACAAATTTAGGGATAAACGCTCGCAAGCGACGAAGGAGCAACGAGCGCGATTTGGAAAGGGCAAGGGGTTGAGGGTCCTATGAGGCTATCCCTTTTTGGTTTTGTTATCGGTCTCGACCGACGGGACCAAATGGAGTGCCAGGGAACCCCTCCCCTCCCTTTTTGGTTTTGTTATCAGTCCCGATCGACTGATCTACCTTGTATCATTCAAATTTTCAAAAGATGTCCCGAAGGACCAGCGTTGGGGCTACGACCGTGAGATATCACCAATGAGTTGGCTGGTCCCAAACAATTCAGTATTATGTTAGTCTGGCATCTGATTGTATTTTGGATTCGAGCATCATAATGAGTTCGTATTTCAGCAGTTCGTAGGTGTACCAATTGCAGTGAGCTAGGCTCTCTGGTTCCACTACCGGTCCGGGAACCACATTCGGGCCAGGTCCGAAGAAAAATGAGATAATTAAAAATAAAAATAAATAAATAAATAAATAAATAAATAAAATCGAGGAGGAAGGGAGGGAATCGCTGGCACTCCATTTGTTCCCGTCAGTTGAAAGTTGGTTCCACCGTTTCACCACCGGTCCAAGAACCATTGTCGGGACAGGTCCAGAGAAAAATAGGCTAATTAAAAATAAATATAAATGGAAATATTAAAAAAAAAAATTGAGGAGGACCGTATGCCTATAAGGCTCATTCAAATTTTCAATAAAAATAAATATACATATAAAAAAAAGAAACCGACATGCAGCCTTATGGGCATACAGTCTCATACGCCAAGCTCGCCCCCCCTTTGCATATAAGTGTTATAAGGTCCGACAAACAAAGGGTCGAAAATCCTATTTGGCCAGCCTTTCGGACCAGCAAATGAGACCATGGGTGGATTCACAATGACTATAGCGGAAAGTGTAGTAGAAGAAGAGCGCGAAGTTGGCGAAAATGAACTTGAAGGAGGAACAGGCGAGGGCGGAGAGTGTTTATCTTGCCCAATCCTTCGTGAAAGCTGGCAAGGAAAAATGCCAAGTTGGGGTTACTAGCCATCGTGAGCTCAAAGATGATGCAGAATTTGGGGTTCAGAGGGTAGTTTTGATTAGTGAGAGATGAGGGGTGCACGAAGGAAGGAAGGTGGTGAACGGGAGGAGATGATAAACACATATCTTGAAAAGTCAAAGTGAGGGTTTTGGGACGACGCGAGCTTATTTGTCGTGCCATAATTCAAATATGGGCGGCGGATTGGTCAGTACAAACAATGGGGTTTGTGTGAGGGAAAACAGTTTTTTTATTGAACCCGGTGGTGATTGTGGCGACATCCAATTATTTTCGTGACTGGATTTTATCATGGGAGTGGGCATGCTTTATGAGTGTGTCATAGTAAAGTCCACTCTTTGCTTTTGACCGGGATAGTTATCTTCGTCATTCGCCATTATGAACATAATCGTAGTCCATTCTCTCTGTTTTTTGTGGCCATCGCTCCCTAAGCTCGTCGTTTACTTCAAGATGGCCGCATCCGCTTCACTTCGAAGTCCTCGCCCCCCTCAGTTCATAGTGGTCGCCTTAATTCCCGCATACTCATTTAGTTTCTTATCCTCCCTCGAGATTGCAAGCACGTCGTTGCCCCTTCATCATTGAGCCAACCATATACAGGGAGGACATAAATTGACAGTGTGTGTTCCCATGTTCTACTGAAAGTTTCATTCTCATTTTGCACACGTGGTGAGTAGGGGAGCGATACCCCATTAGGTCCGCACTCTTTTGTGACAGTCGTCTTCCAACTCGTCTTAATGTGTCGTCAGCGACGTGCCCTTCTTCACTATGGTAGTCTCATGGTTGTGGTCGCCTTCCCTTGGAATGAATAAAGGTAATCTTCGTGTTACTGATCGTAGTTGATGTTGAAAACAGACTGATGATCGAATTGGTGTTCGTAGGTATTGTCCCTGATCATAATTCTATCTGGCGTCGTGGTGGCGGTTGTCTGCATCTTGTGGTGCAACTTGTCTGAGGTATCGTTGAGCTGGCCCTCACGGTGTTGTTTAAGCCTTAAGGGGTGATGTTATTCGTTGAAGTGCGTATTTGGCCTTCACCGTGGTGCCTCTCCTCTTGACAGCTAATATCAGAATCTTGATTGTTATCTTGATCATCATCACCTCATTAGTATTATTGGCTATGCACGCTACAAGTCTATGTGCTTTGTCAGCTTATCGACCGGATTCACTGCTGAATCACTTGCCTTGTACTTCGGTGATTGGGCTCAGGCGGTTTATCTCGAGCTAAAAAAAACAACTTGGTGAAAACGAAGGGCTTAAAGTGAAGAGGATGTTGGAATATGTAAGGGAAGTAGGAGAAGGAATTGATACTTACCTGATCGGGGTGAATCTGTGATCAAGAAGGTGGACCGCTACTCAAGTGATGATGTTGTTGTTGTCCATGACGGACCTGTTAAAGTAAAGACCGGTGTTGTTGATGCTCTGCGTAGGGTTTATGCGGCCATTGCTTCGACACTCCTATGTTTAAGGTGGGGATTATTGTGTTTATGAGCAGTCTTGCTGTGTTTTAAAGAGTGTTACGGATGGGG